CTAGGTCAATGAAGATAATGTGCACTTGTAAACAATTGTGTGCTCTAGTAGTAATTACTTTATTGGTTGCATAGATGTGAATGTAGGGCTCAATTTTCACTATATAAATTCTTAAAAAAGCTACAAATGCCATTCAGTCAAGAGCAGGGAGTGATTTTCTCCTCTTTTGTTGTTTGATTATCATTAACGCTGACACTTAACTCAAGAGATGAGACGAGACGAGGCACGAGATTGGGATCACAAGAACGAGACAAGGTGAGATTTTTACACATTTAAAAAGAGATCTCAATGACCAAATAGGCTACATGACTGTAATATATGATATATAAATATATATATATATATATATATATATATAATATATTATTATTATTATTATTATTTTGTTCACCACCTTTTCATTTGACTAAATTTGTTGCTCATTTTATAAACTTATTTTATTGTCCAGTTTTATTTAGTGCTCATTATTTCATACTTCTAAATATATTGGAAGCCATGAATTGGTTTTGGGGGTTTCCATGTTGAATTTTTTTTGACAGAGCTGCCTAATAAATTATATTTCACCCCACACATCAACATCAACTCTTTTACCTTTATTTCAATCCAATATCGCATAATGATCCAAAACTGGATGAAAAAACAAAACAAAAAAAAAACCCTAGACAAACTTCCCTTGATCTTTTGATACAGAAGAGGTCTTTGTATGCTTAATACATTCTGCAAATTTCACAACTTAAAACGTCCTCATCGTCAATAAAAAAATAATTTATGTAATAACCCTCAGAAAATGGCTCGTTTTAGATCCTATGGGACAAGGTGATGTCACCTGGGCACAGTTTTTGCATAAACACCGCCTCCAGAGCAACACATCGACATAGGCCCTGCCCACTGGCGTTTAGTCGCTAACAGCTGACACTTGTTTACGCTGAATGCGAGTGTCAGAAATTACAATCACTGCCGGTATCTTGTCTACACTGGATACAGTATACAGATGCGCATTCACTTTCTGACACAGTCCACACGCTTGAATCTGTCGTCAATAGGACAAAAGGAGTGAAAGAACGTTCGCTTTGACGCGTTTGGTCTAAACAGCTCGTTTGCGTCTTTGTACAAATATAAGAAATATCTCAGCGTAAGGAACAAGTGGATAGTTTATTTTTAATGGTTTAAAATAATATTTTCCCACATTTTTATGATTTTTTTTTTGCAAAAAACTTTATTAGCATTATAAGTAAACCTCAAGGAACATATTAAAATCATTAAAAAAAAATCCATGTCATGACCCCTTTAAGTCTAACATAGTATCCAAATGGTTATCGCCTCAAGGTCTGTACATTCACAGTGCAGTGTATCTTATCCTGAAGGTAGGGGCAGAATTATCAATCAGAGTTGGTTAGTTTACTGTATGATGAAATATTGATCATGCCAGTGTTTAATCAAAATATAATTAAGATAATTTAGTTTAATTAAAATATATTTAAATATTGATGTTTTTGAAGTTGTGTCAAACGCTATCCAGCAAATAATAGTACAATTCTTAAACAACCTATGTGACCACAGACAAGTTTATTTACTGAACACAGGCAAGTTCAACTTACAGGTTTTTGAGCCAAATCACCAGAGCCATATTTGATGAACTGGTTCAAAATCTCAGCAGGAAGTTCTCCAGGAACAGGGCCACGTAATAAAACAATGAAGATATAGAAACACTGTATATCATAAGCTGTTATACAAATGAATGTGTTATTTCCCAAGACAATCACAAGTCTAAGATGGTGCTTGTTGGCAGCTCTGTTGTGAAAAGATGAATCAGCTCTTTCAAATCTGGGCAGGAGAATTAAAGGGTTAGTTCACCCAAAAATGAAAATTAGCTCATTATTTACTCACCCTCATGGCATACTAGGTGTATATGACTTCTTTCAGATGAATACAATTGAGGTTATATTAAAAAATTGCTCTATTATGGCAATGGGCGGGTGTTTCTTGTTAACAGTCCAAAACAAGTCCAATAAAGTGCATCCATCCATAATAAAAAGTGCCTCATACGGCTCCGGGGGGTGAATAAAGGTCTCCTGTAGCTAGGGTTGTAACGGTATGAGATTTTCACAGTATGATAATCGTCTCAGAAAATATCACGGTTTCACAGTCTCACGGTATATATTAAACAATAATTCTTATCAGTAACAATGACTCTTAAAAGAATAAGAACAAGTTATTTGAGTGAACAAATCCTTTATTACAACAAACTTGAAACCATTTTAATGAAAGAATTGAAGTCTCCCTTCTGAAAAAAAAATGTCGTTTTAAAAAACAATTAAAAAATAAAGCTATACACCTTATGTATATCTATATCACACTTTAACATTTTAATTAATGTTTTCAAATGTTATCACATGAAAATTTAACAACTTTTATTTTTGGCAAAGTTCTGCACAACAGAGGTAACAGTTAAGCTCCTTTATTACAACAAACTTTTAACCATTTTAATAAAAGTGTGGAAGTCTTCCTTCTGAAAAAAATATTTTTAAAAAACAATTAAAAAATAAAGCTATACACCTTATGTATATCTATATCACACTTTAACATTTTAATTAATGTTTTCAAATGTTATCACATGAAAATTTAACAAGTTTTATTTTTGGCAAAGTTCTGCACAACAGAGGTAGGCTAGTTAAAACATGGACAAACATGATATTCCTTAAAAATAATGTTTAAATAAATTAATTATTATAAAGAATATTATTATTGTTGTTATTATAACTTTTAAGTACATTGAACAATGCTAATAGGCTATATTTGTCATAATCTCAAGTTAAATCGAACTTTTATTTTTGACTGGTTGTAGCGGACCTTTGAGTTTCAGAGTGTATTTGAAAATGTTTTTTTCTCAAATAAAACTAGGAAATATTCAAGTTTTCTCTCAGAGCAGCTCTGCTGATGTTCATGTTTATGTAGACGCTGAAAACACCAGTGTCATGTACTTCAGTGTGTAGTAGACATGCAAACGGCGCCACTCAGAGACATGCAGAAACAAGCAATTATTTATATAGCAATCTCTTCGCGCTTTAATATTCACAGACGCATATCATATCTATTTTTGATTTATCCATCCATCAGATTGCGCATTTTACGCGACATCCTCTTATACTGTAAATTCCATGTTCATGACTACACCGGGATTCCCTCTGCATCACGGAAATCATATGGCCTTTATTTATAAATTTGTATAAATGCGACACACCTTTATCTGCGCGGAGGGATGGTGTCCGTGAATATAGCAAAGATGTTGGATGTATTGCCTGCTTTTGCAGCTACTTTGCGTCCACATTCTTTGCAAATTGGATCCGTCCTCAAGTACAACCCCGAGTTGGGTTTTTTTTTATATCTAAACTGAAGATTTTTAAACTTTTTTTCGGTGGGGGATGGAGATTAGATATAATCTCTGTCCCTGTCATGTTCTCCGCTGCACGTGCGTGTAAGCAGCCAAGTAATGCAGAGTGAAGCTGCCGAGCAGAAATAAATTGCATGTGCACTGGTGAGATTTTTTTTTCCATTCATTTAAAAAAAAAAAAAACATAGATATGCAAATGTTCATGGTATGATAACCGTGCACGTTCAAACCGTGATGAACCGTCAATCGTTACAAACCTGTAGCGGATGTATTTTTGTAAGAAAAATATCCATATTTATAAGGTAATAATCACTTTTCGCACTTCTTATTATGGATGGATGCGCTTTATTGGACTTGTTTTGGACTGTTGACAAGAAACATCTGCCCATTGCCATAATAGAGCTTGGAAGTACGGTAAGTACCAGGATCATTTTTAATATAACTCCGATTGGATTCGTCTGAAATTCTTTGCCTATAATAATAATAATAATAATAATAATAATAATAATAATAATGGCTGCAACCACTATAGTAATTACGGTAGTTCTGTTTGGTAGGGTGAGTACGGTAGTTTCCAGCCACAAGTCCTTTATGGATGGCATGGCATTAGCTTTGTGATGGCGGCGTGTCTGCTGAATAGATAATGCCAGGTGGCTGTGATTTCTTTCTCTAAGGTAAATACAAGTTTTATTGGTTATGTTGGCTGTAACTCTTTTTAAATGCGTGACATTTTGTAATCACGAGCGATAAAATATTTTGTGCAGGCGGCAATGATGGTTTGTGCCAGAGTTGAAAGACTGTTGTCGTAGCTGGTGCTATGTGATTGAAGTGTATGCGTGTTTTATATTGTGCTGTATGTATGTATTGAAATGTGTATTTTTGAATTTATATGTGTTATAATAATGAGCACAATAATGAGGGTGTTTTGAAATAAGACAAGCAGTTTATAGTGCTTAAATATACACTTGAAGACTGCTACGTTATATTTAGCCTATCGCCTACTATAGATAAATGTGAATTAAGTTTGACATTGGAAACATTAAAATATCACTTTGTCATGCTCTTTTAATTACCTTGACAGCATGTAACTAATTTTTTTATTACTATGAATGTAGTCACTATAAAGTTGAACTATGGACCTATTATGTTGCATGGTAGTTATATAATTATTATTTGTTCTCAGATTCTTAGAAAAATATGTCAAAGCAGTTTTATAGTCTTTCAGTATCTAAGACTCAAATAATGTGCTTACTACAAACCAGTGGAGGCTCGTGGGTTTTAAAATAGAGGAGGCACACTAATTGTATTGGTCTGGGATCCCTGCCGATTATTATTATTATTATTTGCTTAACCACTTTAAAATGTTTTTTTGGTTGCTTTTAGTCATAAAACGTAAAGAAAACGACACGCATACAACAAGATAATATAATATAATTTCACTTACCTGGCCTATCACTTTTGGCAATATTTTAGATTTTGAAAAGCCTATTGACTGGAAGTTTTTTTAAACATTCATTTCTTATTTATTTGGTTCCACAGTGTTTGCTGATTACTTTATTTAAGCTTTGTGTATTTTATTTATTTTATTTTACATCAAGGTGTAGGCCTATATGCCGTGCCTCCAAGCTTTCTTATTCGTTTTGCTAATAAACATTCTATGTTTCATTATTTATTTGGTTCTCCAGTGTTTGCTGATTTTCAGTTTTATATACCTATTTAAACTTTGTGTAGCCCAAGTAATTTGTTATTTTATTAGGCATATATGGTGTATTTTTATTCGTTTTGTTAATAAAAGTTCTACGAGTTTGACGTTGTTGTTGCTTGAATTGAATCAACACAATCGCTAATTTGAAAGTGAAAGTAAAACGCGCACGGCACTTTTTCAAGCTATTTGAAAGCCAAGAAATCCGAGGAAAAGAGGGAAAACTCAAATGAACAATTGCTTAACGCCGAATTTGAAAGTGAAAGTAAAATGCGCACGGCACTTTTACAAGCCATTTGAAAGCGAAGAAAAGAGGGAAACTCAAACGAACTACCCCCCCACCCCCAACAGTGATATCGGTGTTTCATGTAAACAACTGCAAACTAAAACCCAATTAACAAAGATTCATCTAAATGTATTTTGTTGCTTACAAATCTGTAAATTTATTTTTAAATTAATTTATCCTTGAGTTCATTTATTATTATTATTATTATTATTATTATTATTATTATTTTAATTTCAATAATTCTTTGTCCATTCATTTATTTGGCAGATAAAAATAAGAATATATGTATAAAATGTTAAAAATAGATTGATTCACTGACAAAACAGAACAATATAAAACATGAATTAGTTTTAAAAACAAATTCAGTAACATAAATGCATAAAATGCGTGAAAACATTAATAATTTATTTTTTATTTTGGCAGATCTGCTCCTCCTGCCGCATAACAATTCACCTTCACTGAAGCTCCTCCCCCAGCAGATACGCAATAAATGCTGGAATATTTTCCCATCAGCCTACAAGTGAAGAAGAAAGCGTTTAAGTAAGAACATGAGTGATCCAGAACCCTGCAGAATAAAACATGAAGATACTGAAGAACAAAGAGGTTGGTGTTTATCCTTGATTCTATATTATTGCTGAAGACCAGCAATTTATCAGATTAGTTTTGCAGTGTTTCAGAAAACAATAGGAGCTGTGAAATAACAGTTATAGTAAAAATAAAATACAAGACACTTTCCATGAACTGATTACAAATGGAACCTGACACTTGAATTTCTTATTGTTTTCTTAAAAAATTTAAAAATAAAGATCAGTGAAAAGAAGTTTAAGAAACATACTGATTATCTATATCAGGAACTCTGACTAAATACTATCTAGCTTTATTTTATTTATATTTATTTTATATATGGTTCACAATTTTTTTGCAACCATGTTACTAAACTTTTAAACATCTTACACCTCAGGACTTGTAAATATTTTACAATCACACAACTGTCATTTTATTAATTTCTAGAAATGAACATAAAATATCAAAATAAAACAATGTATCAAATAAATAAACTTTGCTAGAATGGGTAACAGGCCTGCACATTTAGTGTAAATGGTGTAAATGAACCAAATTCTCATTTGTAGTTACTGATGAACTTGGTTGGTTTTTGTTAGTTTTTTTTTTTTTTTTTTTTATTATAAGAAAGATATTTAATTAAGTTATTTTTTCATGGTAACAGAATTGATAAATGCACTCAATACTATACAAATGTTTGTATGCAGTTGTCTACTCTTTTTTTTTATTTTTTTATTTTTTTTATTACATCAGGGTTCACTTTTATGTCCTTTCCCTTCATATTTCTCTCTTTGGTTATTTATGATTTACTGAAAATGAAAGCTTTTCACTGTCATTTTAGACTTGATCAAAGAGAAGGAGGAGACTGAAGACCTGAGTGAAGCAGATGAGAAACATGTCAAATCTTTGAGTCACTCACAGACTGAGAACATTTTTTCCCTAAAAAGATCCCAAAAATCTTTAACCTGCCTTCAGTGTGGGAAGAGTTTCACACGTAAAGGAAACCTTAATGAACACATGAATATTCACACTGGAGAGAAGCCTCACGCATGTGATCAGTGTGGGATGAGTTTCAGACATAAAAGAAACCTTAATGATCACATGAAAATCCACACTGGAGAAAAGCTGCACACATGTGATCAGTGCGGGAAGAGTTTTGCACGTTCTAGGTCTTTTAAATTACATGTGCTCTCTCATTCTGAAGAAAGACCATATAACTGTGATCAGTGTGGTAAAAACTTTTCTCTGGCAAATTCCCTGAAGAACCACCTGAAAGTTCATTCAGAGGTGAAGCCTCACCTGTGTTTTTTGTGTGGAAAGAGTTTTAGTCAGCTGGGTCTTTTAACACAACACCAGAAAAGACACAGCGGTGTGAAGAATCATTTGTGCTTTTATTGTGGGAAGACCTTTATTACAGCTGATGAATTGAAACAGCACCAGAGGATCCACACTGAAGAAAAACCTTACAAGTGTTCACACTGTGACAAGAGCTTCAAACGCTCAGAATATCTGAGGATACATGAGAGGATCCACACTGGAGAGAAACCGTATCACTGCCATTCATGTGGGAAGAGTTTCACTCATTGTTCTGCTTTAACCAGTCATAAAAAAAATGCATGTCTGAAGTTATAGTTCGAGTTCTGATCTGTAAGACTGCATAAAACAATTATATCGATACTTGATTAATCAAAGATTATTAGAACAATTAATGAACTGATGATTATTTCAGATGAATATTTTTGTATTAATCATTTTATTGTTCTAATCATTTTATTATCATTCAGTTATTATTCATAACGTTTTTTTCCCCCCACAGGCCATATCCCACCTGAACAACACATAACACACCTCAGTACTGTTCATCTGTAAATAGCACATATGCACATTCACAGTTCTGTCAATTGGCATTTTTCCTTTTTCAGTATATTTTTATTAATATTGTTATTTATAATTTATTGTCTACTCTCTCTAACGTTAGTGTTTTATTACCTTAATTTTATGTATGTCTACACTATGTTTGTACTTTCTGTACTGGAAGCTCCTAACACCAAGACAAATTGCTTGTGTGTGTAAACACACTTAGCAATAAAGCTCTTTCTGGTTCTATATCATTTGTCTTTCTATGTTTTTAAATTTATATCACTTAGGGTGGGTTGCACCAACAAGGATTAAATTAAAAAGCAAACTTTCTTCTCTTGATGCGCTGACTCTGGCTTCAGTCCACTCCTTGTGAAGCTCTCCCAAGTTCTTGAATCAGCTTTTCCTGACAATCTTCCCAAGGCTGCGAGCATCCCTGTTGCTTGTGCACCTTTTCCTACCACGCTTTTTCCTTCCAGTCAACTTTCAATGAATATATTTCGATACAGCACTCTGTGAACAGCCAGCCCTTTCAGCGATGACCTTCTGTGGCTTACCCTCCTTGTGGAGGGTGTCGATGATCTTCTTCTGGACTTCTGTCCAGTCAGTAGTCTTCCCCATAATTCTGGTTGCATGTTCTAAACTAGCCCAGGAGGTACCCAGTATTTATACTCAAAATTAATCAAACTAATCAAGCTCAAAATGGAATATTCTAATTTTTTGAGATACTGAATTTTTTATTTTCCTAAGCTGTGAGTTGTAACCATCATAATTTTTAAACAAACAAAAAAACAACTCTTAAAATATTTAATTTTGTGTGCAATGAATCTAGAATATAAGAAAGTTTGCTTTTCCAACTTTTGGAAAATGGAACTTTTCCATGATATTCTAATTTTTTTTTAGATGCACCTGTATTTCCCTGAAGGTATGTTCCTGTTTTCACCTCATTCATTATTCTGATGTCTTCAGATCACCTGTAAACT